CTAGTTACTGCTGCACTCTACTTGCGGAGGGTGACTGGTCTTGTCTCCGCCTCCTGTAGTTTTCTGCAAACAGCCTATAGTAGGTGCGGCCTGCTGAGTCCCTCCCACAGCTCTGCTCTCTGCACAAGCTATGTACAGTACAGTGATGATGTCACTGATAGTTTATTCAGTAATATCTGGGTTTGTAATGGTTTGACTGATGATTGTAATGGTGATTCAAAGTTCAACACAACAATCCAAATTATTCTTGTTTAAGAATATTTATGATTTTAAAATATTTAATGTTTAAGAATATTTTAATTAAAAGTCATGTGGGGCCCTGCTGGTTTTAGTTCAATATAACAAGGCCTTTCTTTGAATCTTTGGCAGAAAATAAGTGGTTCCATGGCTACTGTCCTTCAGACTTTTGGGGGGGTCTGACCATGGCAAGCATAGAAAATGAGAGTAGAAAATGCCCCAGTATCAGTAGGAATAAACAAAGCTTCAGGCTTGTGGTTGGTGGGAGTAAAAAAGTAGTAACTGTGATCAGTGGGAGGAATAGTGCCCCATCATTGGTATTAGTTGGAGGAATAGTGCCCCATCAATGTTATCAGTGGGAGGAATAGTGCCCCATCATTGGTATCAGTGGGAGGAATAGTGCCCCATCATTGGTATCAGTGGAGGAATAGTGCCCCATCATTGGTATCAGTGGGAGGAATAGTGCCCCATCATTGGTATCAGTGGGAGGAATAGTGCCCCATCATTGGTATCAGTGGAGGAATAGTGCCCCATCATTGGTGTCAGTGGAAGAAATAGTGCCCCATCATTAGTATCAGTGGGAGGATTAGTGCCCCATCATTGGTATCAGTAGGAGGAATAGTGCTCCATCATTGGTATCAGTGGGAGGAAAAGTGCTCCATCATTGGTATCAGTGGGAGGAATAGTGCTCCATCATTGGTATCAGTGGGAGGAAAAGTGCCCCATCATTGGTATCAGTGGGAGGAATAGTGCCCCATCATTGATATCAGTGGGAGGAATAGTGCCTCATCATTGGTATCAGTGGGAGGAATAGTGCCCCATCATTGGTATCAGTGGGAGGAATATCAGTGGGGGAGGAATAGTGCTCTATCATTGGTGTCAGTGGGAGGAATAGTGTCCCATCATTAGTGTCAGAGGGAGGAATAGTGCCCCATCATTAATATCAGTGGGAGAAAAAGTGCCCCCATCATTGGTATCGGTAGGAGGAATTGTGCTCCATCCTTGGCGTCAGTGGGAGGAATAGTGCCCCATCATTGGTATCAGTAGGAGGAAAAGTGCCCATCATTGGTATCAGTAGGAGGAATAGTGCCCCATCACTAGTGTCAGTGGGAGGAATAGTGCCCCATCATTGGTATCAGTAGGAGGAATAGTGCTCCACCATTGGTGTCAGTGGGAGGAATAGTGTCCCATCTTTGGTATCAGTGGGATGAATAGTGCCCCGTCATTAGTATCACTGGGAGGAATAGTGCCCCCTCATTGGTATCAGTAGGAGGAATAGTTCCGTGCTATTGGTGTAAATGGGAGGAATAGTGCCCCATCGTTAGTATCAGTGGAAGAAATAGTGCCTCATTTTAGTGTCAGTGGAGGAATAGTGCTCCATCATTGGTATCAAAGAGAGGAATAGTGTTCCATTATTGGTATCAGTAGGAGGATTAATGCTCTACTTTTGGTGTCAGTGGGAGGAATAGTGCTCCATTATTGGGGTCAGTGGAAGGAACATTGCCTTAGATCAGTGAGAGGTGCAGTGCCGACAAGGGCCAGATAACAAAAAGCAAAGGGAGGCAGTTTGGAGGTCAGCTCTATAGGATATGTTTTTGATGGTGGTTCTGATATGAGCCACAATTCTAGATGAAAATCTTCAATAAAAGAAATAGTGCTTTACTAATACTAGTCTTCTCATCAAGCCTTTGCCTCGCTGCCATTCCTGTTTTATCTTCCAGCTTTCCGGGCCATCGTTGACATTCTGTATATCTCATTGTAAAATCAAAGGCATTTCATATGGGGCATGTACTAAAATATTAAACGCTTCCTAATAAAGCAGGGCTGCAATGCGACGCAGTAAAATGAACAATTCTTCCGGAAGATAAAAATCTTTTCTTTATTCTTGTAAGATCTGTTTATTTATCTCACACTTTGTCTTCAGGCTCATGATCGGAAGCCATGAATTTCCCCCGAGCAATTAATGGAGGCCAGTACCAATAGTAAGGCTCCCTCAGCATTGCTTGAAGATAAAAGTTTTGATACTTTGCATAAAATCTTAGCATACCAATTAGCTATGCAGTATCTGTGCTACTACTTCCTACAGGAATACATGTTCCCATGCAATTGGAGGGTCAGGAAAAATACCGTTGTAAAGTCAATCTTTATAGATTACTATTTTGATTCTAAATGTTGCATTAGCTGATGTTAAGTGTCTTCAAACTTTGTAAATGTACATAAAAGAAAACGGCAAACATGATTTAATCCAGTCATGTATATATTAAAGCCTAACTCCATGTTCTGGACAAAAATGTAAAAATAATTGGATGGACTCTTTAAATACACTGATAAGTCATTACATTATGAATACCCACCACAACCCTTTGAGGTATGGACCCCACGGAGTCCTCTGAAGGTACATTGTAGTATCTGGCACTGAACCATTTGTAGCAGATCCTTAATTTCTTTAAGTTGCAAGGTGGATCTTTCATGACCGGACCTGTTTTTCCAGCACATCCCACGGATGCTCAATTGGATAGGTAGGCCCGGAGCAAAAAAATAAAAAATGAAGTGTAGGGAGGACATGACTGGGGGGAATAGAGGGACAACATATAAGGTTAAAAGAAGGGTAGGAAGTTTTGATAGTATTTACCTAATTGGATGGGGATGTTTGGGACAGTTCACAGGGAGGAAAAAAAGTGTCCGATTTCAGGAAGTCCAGTGGGGAAGTTGGAAGAAGAAGAAGCTTTCCACCCTCCCTCCCCTTTGTGCTTTGGCTTGGATTGTCATGGCAGCCTTGGCAGGGTTGGTCTTTGGAAGAGGAAATAATTCTGTATGAAGACAGATTTGGGACCCATCAGTAGTATGGGGATCTCGGTACATTCTGGTTAACAAGGGGTAACTCGGACTAGGTAAAATGGTGGTCACTGTGGATAAGTAGAGTTATCTCCAAGCCGGTGTGTTGCGGCTGGGGATAAGTAGGATTGTTCCCGAGCTGGTGGGTTAAGTTGAAGGAATGTTTTCCGCACAAGTTAAGTTGGGTTTATGGCCCTCAAATGACCACCACGTTTTTCCTCTGTTTCTAATTTTTGGAATATTATGTTAATTATGTTGAAATAATTTATTGGTTAATAAAAGGTTGCTATGGCCATTTGGACTCCAAAAACTTTTTTTTGTATAGCTGGAAAGTGGAGGGTATGGCCTAGCAGGCTTGGTTAGGTTGGAAGGCGTATATTCTACCCTTGTCATGAAATCTGGAGAATTTGGAAGCCAAGTCAACAACTCAAACTTGTTGTTTTTTCAAACCATTCTTGAATTTACCAGACCAGACCACCTTTTTCAATTACTCCTGCGGTCCAGTTCCAATGCCCACATGCCCATTGTAGGTACTTTTGGCTGTGGTTGGTCAGCATGGGCACCCTGACTGGTCTGCTAACACCACAGTCCCATACACAAAAAACTGTGATGCACTGTGTGTTCTGACACCTTTATATCAGCAATTTGAGCTATAGTAGCTCTTCTATTAGATCAGACTACATGGGAAAGCCTTCGCTTCACCACATGCAATAATGAAGTGCACATGACCCTGTTGCCAGTTCATCCATTTTTCCTTCCTTGGACCACTTCTGGTAGGTCATGACCGCTGCAGTCTGGGAATATCCCACAAATTTTGGAGTTGCTCTGGCCCAGTCATCTAGCCATTACATCTAGCCATTTGACCCTTGTCCAAGTCACTCAAATCCTTACGCTTGCTCGTTTTTTTGCTTTCAACACATCAACTTCAGGGACATCTTGTTCACTTGATGCCTAATATATCCCACCCGCTTTCAGATGCCATTGTAACAAGATCATCAATGTTATTCACTTTATTTGTCAGCTGACAAAATGTTATGGCTGATCGGTATCTATCAGGTCTGGCTGCAATATTCTCCCCCTCTTAGGCACTGTCCCCTGTAGACTCACCTCTCTTCGATCCAGCATCTTTCCACCTCCGGATTAAATGACGCCCAGAGTCATCCAACAAACCTGAAACTGGTTGAAACCTATAGTACTCCTGTGAGGACAGTGAGGTGATAACACATCATGAACCACTTATACTGTTGCCACCAACTAGGGCAAGGACCACCTATCCATGTTGTGATGTCACCGGACCACCTGAAACCTTCAGGAAAAAAGGTTTGTCTGAAGGGTCTTTTTTTTTTAAAAAGAAGAAATGTGGCATAGGGTGTGGTAGGGGGCTTTAGGGATAGGGTGACACAAAACGTGAAGTAAGACTTTAAGTATAATCAACACCTATCTACCCATAACCTGCCTATGCCCCATGCTCAGAATATGTAACGTTACCCCCACTGTGCTTTGAGCGGCTGGTCACCCTCAGTCCCTGCTTCCCAGTTATCACTGACAGCCAGGGTCTCCACTGTTGATCAGGAGCCAACCAGAGTGGTTCCCAGACGTGTGACTACTATGTCATCTCTGAAATCATGGTTACATACAGGCTGGAGGCTTAATTAAAATTAAACCCTTCAGAGAAACTTTACCTTCAATAGCAGCGAAGGTGACTTTTATCAAGTATATGTTTGGTAAATGTCAGCTTACTTTTTTTTTGCTAAATGCCCCTATGCCTCTATGCCATACCATGTCTCTTCTGCATTAAGAGCTCTCTTACCTTCTGTACTATATATTTGTATACTAAAATATGCATCCACATTTAAATGTACATTCTCAGGATACCTTAAAGTGTTATTAAACCCAGGACCCTGCATTCACTATATCTGATTTCCCCAGACTCTGCATTCACTATATCTGGTCTCCCAGGACCCTGCATTCACTATATCTGGTCTCCCCGAACCCTGCATTCACTATATCCGGTCTCCCCGGACCCTGCATTCACTATATCTGGTCTCCCCGGACCCGCATTCACTATATCTGGTCTCCCCGGACCCTGTATTCACTATATCCGGTCTCCCAGGACCCTGCATTCACTATATCTGGTCTCCCCGGACCCTGCATTCACTATATCTGATCTCCCCGGACCCTGCATTCACTATATCCGGTCTCCCAGGACCCTGCATTCACTATATCCGGTCTCCCCGGACCTGCATTCACTTTATCAGGTCTCCCCGGACCCTGCATTCACTATATCCGGTCTCCCCGGACCCTGCATTCACTATATCCGGTCTCCCAGGACCCTGCATTCACTATATCTGGTCTCCCCTGACCCTGCATTCACTATATCTGATCTCCCCGGACTCTGCATTCACTATATCTGGTCTCCCAGGACCCTGCATTCACTATATCTGGTCTCCCCAGACCCTGTATTCACTATATCTGGTCTCCCCGGACCCTGCATTCACTATATCTGGTCTCCCCGGACCCTGCATTCACTATATCTGGTCTCCCTGGACCCTGCATTCACTATATCTGGTCTCCCTGGACCCTGCATTCACTATATCTGGTCTCCCACAGTACAAACAACATGGAAATGCAATTATTTTAGTAAATATAAACTGCTAAACACCTTTTCTCATCAGCAGTATGTAGCAGTCTTGTGACTTCTATCAGTGTCCAGCAGAGCACTGGTTAAAGCTTGTAGGAGATGTTTTCTTTCTCCCCTGATTGTCCTATGAGGCTGCAGGACCACTGATCCTCTGCCTGGACTGTGCTGATTGGCCCTGTGCTGATCACCGAGAAACAAAAACTCTCTAGCAATACACACCAAACAGAGCATGTGCCGCTCACCCCCAAGGCTCTGTTCTAACAGCAGATTGATTGTGGACAGTAGAAGATGGTGAGTATCAGGGAAGACAGGATCAAACAGCCTTTTTACACAATGGAGAAGATTAACCCACTTTTGTATCCGGACCTCTTTGCAGTGGTGTTGCGCTGCAACTTCTAATTTTGTTAAATTAATACTGTAACTGTCCAAATCATTTGCACTATTAAAAATAATAGTAATACATTAAATAATAGCAAAAAACATTTAAAGTAATTGTAAAGGATCATATTTTATATGTACCTGCTCTGTGCAATGGTTTTGCACAGAGTAGCTCCAATTCTCCTTCTTTGCAGTCCCCCGCTGGCACTCCTGGCCCCCCATCCTCCGCCACTTGCTATAAGGGGGCACTCGTGCCGTCTGTTCCTGAGCTGGTTGTGTGTCCATTGACACAGAGCACAGCTCAGCTCCTCCCCTCTCTCCCTCCGCACTGGCTGTGATTGACAGCTGCAGGAGCCAATGGCTTCCACTGCTATCTATGAGCCAATAAGGAGGGAGAGAGAAGAGTGCCTCTGGTTTCGTGCACAGCGCTGGATTGAGTATAAGGGGGGGCTGGAAATGGAGCTATAAGGTAAAAACCCTTTAGCCTTTAGAACCAATTTAAATGTTTTAAAATTAAAACTGTGTATCAAACAATATACACTACATTTCCAAAAGTACTGCCTTTACACACACATGAACTTTAATGGCATCCCAGTCTTAGTCCGTAGGGTTCAATATTGGGTTGGCCCGCCCTTTGCAGCTATAACAGCTTCAACTCTTCTGGGAAGGCCGTCCACAAGGTTTAGGAGGGTGTCTATGGGAAGGTTGGACCATTCTTCCAGAAGCACATTTGTGAGGTCAGGCACTGATGTCGGGGGAGGAGGCCTGGCTCGCGGTCTCCACTGTAATTCATCCCAAAGGTGTTCTATGGGGTTGAGGTCAGGACTTTGTGCAGGCCAGTCAAGTTCCTCCACCCCAAACTGGCTCCTCCATGTCTTTATGGACCTTGCTTTGTGCACTGTGTGCAGTCATGTTGGAACAGGAAGGGGTCATCCCCAAACTCTTCCCACAAAGTTGGGAGCATTAAATTGTCCAAAACATCTTGGTATGATGACGCCTTAAGAGTTCCCTTCAATGGAACTAGGGGGCCAAGCCCAACCCCTGAAGAACAACCCCACACCATAATCCCCCTCCACCAAACTTTACACTTGGCAAAATGCAGTCAGCCACGTACAATTCTCCTGGCAACTGCCAAACCCAGACACATCCATCGGATTGCCAGACAGAGAAGCGTGATTTGTCACTCCAGGGACAACATCTCCACTGCTGCTTAGAGTCCAGTGGCGGTGTGCTTTACACCACTGCATCCGATGCTTTGCTTTGCTCTTGGTGATGTAAGGCTTGGATGCAGCTGCTTGGCCATGGAAACCCATTCTATGAAGCTCTCTACGCACTGTTGTTGTGCTAATCTGAAGGCCAAATGAAGTTTGGAGGTCTTTAGCAATTGACTCTGCAGACAGTTGGCGACGTCTGCACACTGTGCGCTTCAGCATGCGCTGATCTGCTCTGTCATTTTACGTGGTCTACCATTTCGTCGCTGAGTTGCTGTTGTTCCCAGTTGCTTCCACTTTGTTATAATACCACTAACAGTTGAGCGTGGAATATTTAGTAGCCAGGAAATGTCACGGATAGACTTATTGCACAGGTGGCAACCTATCACGGGACCACGCTTGGAGTCACTGAGCTCCTGAGAGCGACCCATTCTTTCACAAATGATTGTAGAATCAGTCTGCATGCCTAGGGGCTTGATTGTATACACCTGTGGATCTGTGGTCATGGAAGGTATTGGAACACCTGAACCCAATGATTTGGAGGGTTGACAAATCATTAATTATACCTCATCTAGAATATGCAGTTCAGTTTTGGGCACCAATTCACAAAAAAAACATTGGGGAAAGTACAGAGAAGGGCAACTAAACTGATACGAGGCATGGAGTAGCTCAGCTATGAGGAAAGATTAGAAAAATTGAATTTATTCTCTCTTGAGGAGAGGAGATTAAGAGGGATATGATCTCCATGTATAATACATAAGGGGGGATATGATCTCCATGTATAATACATAAGGGGGGATATGATCTCCATGTATAATACATAAGGGGGGATATGATCTCCATGTATAATACATAAGGGGGGATATGATCTCCATGTATAATACATAAGGGGGATATGATCTCCATGTATAATACATAAGGGGGATATGATCTCCATGTATAATACATAAGGGGGGATATGATCTCCATGTATAATACATAAGGGGGGATATGATCTCCATGTATAATACATAAGGGGGATATGATCTCCATGTATAATACATAAGGGGGATATGATCTCCATGTATAATACATAAGGGGGGATATGAGCTCCATGTATAATACATAAGGGGGATATGAGCTCCATGTATAATACATAAGGGGGGATATGATCTCCATGTATAATACATAAGGGGGGATATGATCTCCATGTATAAATACATCAGTGGTTCATATAGTGAACTCGGGGTAGAGCTATTCACCCTGAGGTCATCACAGAGGACAAGGGGGCGCTCTTTACGTCTGGAGGAAAAGAAATGTATTCTCCAAACACGGAAAGGTTTCTTCACAGTGAGAGCTGTGACAATGTGGAATAGACTCCCTCAAGTGTTGTTTGTGACCAGCTCAGTGGATTGCTTCAAAAAAGTCCTGGATTCTTTCTTGGATACACAGAATATAACTGGATACTAACATTTATAGGTAAAGTTGATCCAGGGAATATCCGATTGACTCTCGAGGGATCAAGAAGGAATTTTTTCCCCTGCAGAAGCAAATTGGATCATGCTTTGCTGGGTTCTTTTCCCTTCCTCTGGATCAACTGTGGGTGTAGGATTAGAACTTTTTTTTTTCTGTGGTTGAACTGGAAGGACTTTTGTCTTTTTTCAGCCAGACTAACTATGTAACTATGTCCCAAAACTGTTGGCAATATAGTGTATTAGTTCAATGTAGACTTAGACAACATGCACATAACCCACACTATTCGCAAAGTGTATCAGTCCATCCCATTGCCTTTGGCCAGTACTGGTAACTGGTAATCTGGGAACACCTTTGCATACTTATTTAAATGCAAAGCAAATATTCCTAAACACACCCACTGAAGACTACTTGCTGATTTCCACACACGAAAAGCCTGATGGATCAGTGTGTTTGCTGGACAGCATTAGGCGTTCACAATTGCTCTCACTTGTCACATGGAATTGCTTATTTAAAGATAAATGCAGATTGTAGATGTTTAAAAACATTTATTTGTCTATTGATTGGTTTTACCCTTCAGTATATGCAGACCTTAAGGTTGTTTTTTTTTCTAATTCCCTCAACATGAAAACGATTCTTCATCAAATAAATTACTAGATGAAGAGGTTTTCATTTTCCACAATCCAATTTTCGAACACTAGGGAAAATTTGATTGACGCTCTAAAAAAAATCTTCGTAGCTTCGACTAAACGGACTCGCTGGATGAGTTTCAGAAGTGATGAGTTGAAAATACTCCGAATGCAAACAAATTAATTTGCACATCAATTATATCTCGTAATTTATGTGCAACCTGAAATCCTTTAGTTGGGAGATTGCTCGCGGAAATCCTGTGTGTTCGCCATGCCATTTCAATGTAGGTGACGAGGAGAACGTAGTGACAAGGAAAACAAACAAAGTCCTAAGCGCCTACCCAGAAGAAATATTATTTTGGTTAAGGGCATTTGGGTTAATTTGCATTTCATTTGCATTTGATTATCATATGTATATTTGGGTTTTCTACCAAACAAAGAAAAAAGTCGGAGTTAATGAAGCAGTGTCAAGAGCAGTAATGATATGCAAAGCAAAGTACTGATACCACTCAGGTTTGTTACCAAAGAGAAGGGAATTCTGATTGGTTGACCTATGTTCTATACTTTTTAACTCAAAGTCGTTTATGTGTTCAACTTTTAGATTCCCATCCATGCACGGCAATACATCTCAATTGCAGGGAGTATCGACTCCTGGGGAATCAAGAACGATTTTTTTTTTCCCTTCAGAAATTGGATCATGCTTTATTGTGTTTTTTCGCCTTCCTCCGGATCAACTGTTGGTATAGGATTGTGTATATGGAGGTTTTCTTTCTTTCTTATTTTTTTCTATTGCTTGAACTAGATGAACTTGTGTCTTTTTTCAATCTAACTACAGTATGTAAGTAGGACACATTGTCAGGTGTCTCTGGCAGTGAGTTCTTGTAGACAGTCAACTTGGGTTTCCCCAAGGGGAAAACCTAAGTTCACCTGTCCTTGATCTATCCATTAAATGCATGTGCCTCTACTATGGGGACTCTCAAATTGTAGAGTTAGGACCACAGATTATCAGGGTGCCGTGACGTGGCTCTGTGGCTTACGTATGTATTTGTAAATGTGTGCTAAGTAAACCCCTGTTATAAACGCATACTGTTAGACAGGTTAATTTGGTTGTTAGCAAGCTGGCTGGCAAGTTGTCCAAGAACATTGTTCTCTCCCCTTTATTCACTGTGGTGTCCGTTTATGACACAGAGAATAGCTGCGATTCAACAGTTCTCTGGTCATTCACAGTTTATGACGCTCAGGAGATCGTGTCAGCCCTTCTCTGGAGATCTGTGTTCTCCCTCCAGATTCTCCAGCCCAGAGCTGGAGAATCAGAGGGACCGCAAACTAAGCAGAGATAATTTACCTCTGGTTAGTAAACTGATCTTTTACTGTAATCTCACGAGATTATAGTAAAATGAGCCGTTTTCCAGAGTTTTGTAGACCGTTCTCCAGCGTTTGGAGACCGTTCTCCCTTCATTCGGAGAACTGCTTCATAAACTGCATTCACAGGAGAACTGTGTTCTCCGAGAATGCCGGAGAACAGAGCAGCGATCTATTACCGCTGGTTCATAAATGGACACCTATGTGATGCCTGTTTATGTGTCCTTGCTTCATAAGCCAGTTATAGACTTGGGCAGGTGGTGTTATATACATATATACATATATATATATATATATATATATATATATACAAAC